AAAAAAAAAAAAAAAAAAAAGAGTAAACATAACATCTTTTGACCATCAAGATCTTCCAGATATTGTTTTCTGGTGTAACAGGAAGAGAAGAAAAACAATAACAACAACAACAACAACAAAACCCCAGTGGCCTCTGCTGTTTTTTAGCCTGTATGTAGCAGGTGCCAGACCGTTTTACGGCAGGTGTACGCTGCTGGCTCCTACAAAGTATATTGTTGGATACGAAGTTGCCTGGGGTAACCGGGTAGCTCGTATGTAGTTCCTGACACAGACTCCCCAGGTAAGCAAGGCACAATTTAGAAGCTTTCTGGATAAAGGGGTTTTGAAACTATTCGCAGGGCAAATGGGTTTGGGGTCCCTGGGAGCGGAGATTGGAGGCTTAGATCACAGTGGACCTGGACAGGTGCGGGACGTGGTCGGTTTTCTTCTGCGGGCAAGAGGCCCGCAGCCAATCGGCGGGCAGGGCCTAGGCAGCCTTGCGCAGCTTCGCTGAGGCCCGCAGGTGGCGAGCGACGAGCGCACGCAGCGGGGACTTGCGGGGGCGCGCGCGGGCCGAGCGGGCGCGCGCGGCGCTAGCAGGCCCGCGCGCTAGGTTGCGGGAGCCATGCGGCGGGCTAGAAGCTCCGCGGCCAAAAAGCCGCGCGAGCAAAAGCGGTCGGGGGCTTCCAGCGCTCCGGGGACAGCCGCCTCGGCTCCCCGCGACAGCCGCGCCCGGCGCTCCGCGAGCAAGTCTGGGGGCGGGAGCCGGGCGGCGAGCAGGCATCCGTCGGCGAAGAAGCGGCCGAAACCGTCGCCTCCGCGGGCCCCAGAGGCGGGCTCCAAGGAGCTGCCGCCGGCGGAGTTGGCGCTGCTCCCGCCGCCGCCACCGCCGACCCCAGCGACCCCGACGTCCTCGGTGTCCATGCTGGACCTGGGCGAGCAGAAGGAGCGCTGGGAGACATTCCAGAAGCGGCAGAGGCTCAGCTTCGAGGGCGCCGCCAAGCTCCTGCTGGACACCTTGTAAGTGTGGCCGGGCTGGGCCGGGCCGGGCCGGGCCGCGCCGGGCCCGGCGTCCCCGCGTCCCTGCCGGCGTGCGGGCTGCGGGCTCCTCTCGGCTCCACGCCGGCCACGTAACGGCGCAGACGCGGCTGCCGCTTGGCGCCTAGTTTGGTCTTAATTCTGAGGGCGGCCGGGGGACTTGGTGTGGGGCTCCGGACAGGGCGCGCGGAGGGCGCGGGTGCCACTGTTTCTGTCGTACTGGAACCCCTTTTTTCTTACTTTTTTTTTCCTTTGGATCTTGCTTATGTGGTTTTTGGAACGGGACGGGTTAGAGCGTTGGAGAAAAGCGAAGTCCCGTCATTGTTCAGGCGGGCCAGGAGGAGGGGCAGAGGCTATTGATCCCGGAGAGAAGCGCGCGCAAAGCGAGGCTCGGGACGCCGGGAAGCGAGGGAGAGGCTTTTTCTTTTCCACGAGTGGTTTCCTGGGTGGCTCACACCCTTTTTCACATCACCATTTCTGGGTGGAAAATGCAACTCTAGCCTCTTAGAAAGCCAGGCATCGCACAGGTACATGGTTTTGAAAGCAAAAACAAAAACAAAAAATTATTAAATAGAGGCTGGAGCTATTACAGAATAGAGGGGCTGCCTTTTGTTCTCCAAATGTGATGTGGATTCCTAGCCCGAAGAATTACGGAGAAATATTTTATTACCCTAATATATTTCAGTGTTAGTTCTGTGAATTGAAAAGAACAATCAAAACACGAGGGAGAAAAAAATTTAAGTATAACCTAAGAATTGCAAACAACTCGAGTTGAAAATTAACTCAAAAATTACAAAAATAAAAAACAAAAAACTGATTCTTTGTCCTTGTTCAAGAAGACATTATCTTAGTTTTGATGCATCTCCTCAGAAGAGGAGTATTCGTTTGATTTTCTGTGTACCTCACTTTGTTATATCATCTCTGAATATAAATTGAACATTAAAAACACTCTCCGTCAGACAACTTTTTTGAGCACCTGTGGTGTGCCAGCTTGGGTATAGTATAAAGGATATAAAGCTATTTAGAAATGTAAACCAAATTTGAGGTAATGTCTTGTTTCTGAACAATAATTCCAAAAAAGATTAAAATGTTGATATATGATGTGATGTTTTTCAGCCATCAGATTGGCATGAGTGTGTACTTGAGGCCTCTAAATTTCTGTGCAAAAAGTGAATATAATGTATGTAACTTGTTAAAATGTTGTATAAACAGCATGGTGGCGGATGCCTGTAATCTCAGCACTTGGGAGGTTGACGCAGGAAGATTGCTGTAAGTTAGGAGTTCAAGGCCAGCCTGCATCACACTGTGAGACTTGTCTCAAAACAAATGTATAGAGCCAAGCGTAGTGGCTGTAATCCCGGCGCTTGGCAGTCTAAGGCAGAAGGATCTCTGGGAGTTTGAGTACAGCCTGGGCTACATACTGAGCTCAAGGCCAGCCTGAATTACATAAAGAGACCCTGTTTCAGGAAAAAACAAAAAACCCAAAACAAAAAATACATATAGAAAACTTTGGAAGAATATATGGCAAATAGCAGATTCTTGTGAAAATTACAGAAAGCTGTCACTTTGAATATTATCAAATATATTAATGTTTGGATTTTTCACGGTTAGTATTTGTATAGGCAAATAAAAATCAAATTCTTTAACTTGTAAAAAGCGTGAAATAACATTTAGTCTTAATCAAATATATGCAAATTAAACCTCAGCCATTTTGTGATTATTGCTCAAAGGTTACAGTGAAATGTTTCCTCCTTCATTATTGGTAAGATTATCAGTCATTCTGGAGAGCAATTTGATGATGTTAATCAAATTTTAATGTTCAGTTATAGACTTAGCTTACTTTTTTTTTTTTTTTGTACGGGAGATTCAACTTAGGACCTTGTACTTGCCAAGTAGGCACTCAGGCTGCTGAGCTGTCTCCCCAGGCCTGCTTATATGTTTTAAAAGTTCAAAGTTTGGGTTAGGGAGATAGCGCCATAAGCGCCTGCCTTGCAAGCACAAGGTCCTGAGTTCAATGCCTGGTGCGCACACATGCACATATGCAAGCTCCAAGTTTAATATGTATATACGGTTATATTAAAAAAATCATGTACTGGAGGAGAGAGCAGAATTATGAGAGCCTGTGACACTGTTCAGGCTGTATTGATCCACCCTGTTAGTTTTTCATAACAGCTTTTGTCATCTTTATCACAATCATTACAAATTGTTTGGGCAGTTTATTTGATGGCTGCTTGAGGTCTGTAAGGGCAGCAACTATATCTGCTATATTTTGCATGCTGTTCTCTCCTTGGTGGTTAGATTGCAAAGATATTTACTAAACATTTGACATATAAGTAAAAGTATTGAGATAAAATTAGAATCCTCCTCTTACCTACATTTCCCAAATTCTAGGAGCGTTGTATTTGGAAATTTAAGAATTGAGCCCAAAGAGAACGCACAGACAAAGGCAACACTGAATTTATTCTTTTATAAAATTAGCTATGGCTCTTTAAAAACAGAAATGCATTTGGTTGCCCTGTAGAAAAGACTTTTGTTCTACCTTGCCTTTCTTTCAGTAGCAAAGTGAATGCAGGAACCATGCCCCAGGCCCCTGCCTGGCTTTTCCAAAGCTCTGATTGTTCTGATTTTGTTTCACTTAGTGAATACCAGGGCCTGGTAAAGCACACAGGAGGATGCCACTGTGGAGCAGTTCGTTTTGAAGTTTGGGCCTCAGCAGATTTACACATCTTTGACTGCAAGTGAGTATTTTCTCCTCCTAAATTATCTTAAAGAGTTGAAGTAAAACTCAGTGATGGCTTAGTGGGGGCTGGGGAGATGGCTCAGGAATAAGCACTTCACTGGCAAGCGCAAAGGCCTGAGTTCAATCCCCGGTTCTGCCAAAATAAAATAAAATAAAATAAAATAACATAACATAACATAACATAACAGTGCTTCAGAATAACCTGGGAAGTTAGGGTATAGATAAAATAACATTGACTGTGAGTTGGTAATTGTTGAAGTCAGGTGGTGGATACATAAGGGTTCATTGTTCTTTCTTACTATGTATGACTTGAAATTTATAATAACATTTTTAAATGTTATTATAAATAAATACACAATAAATAAATAAATAGTGAGGGGAAGCTAAAAATAATAGCCTCTGTGTGTGTGTGTGTGTGTATGTATGAGTGTGTTCTGGTGTTGATATCTGTGTGCATATGTTCTACAGAGCTATATCACAGCTGCCAGTGACAGAGCAGGCTCCTCAGTGCTTCTGACTGTCACAGTAACTTTCAAACTGAACCCACTGATGCTTTGTGGGTAGTTAGCTCAGGATGGGGGCCGGACTTGGCACTGAGGAGAAAGTCATGGGCAGGAACTTTGTAGGAGTCCAGGTGGGAAAGAGACGGAGGTAAGTTAGCGGAGGGTGTGTCCACCTGGAGGTGTCCAGGGCACTGGCCTTCTTTATCTGTTCTTGACATGAGCAGGTGGTACTGCCAGGATCTGTGGAAGATCTTGTTATTAGTATCTCTCCTGGTATGGTCAAAGGGTAAGAACAATAGGCCTTGAATTCTGGACTAGTATTTGGCATGTACCTAATTATTCGATAGTGTCTAGACTTTTTTTTGTCTGTTAAGTGGTACCTGAATTGTATATGAATAATACATAAATACAGTGGAATTACACAAGTGGAGAATTGACCAGGCTAAAAACAGTAGAGTCCAGATCTGGAAAGAAGCACTGTAGTATATATTTTTAATATTTAATTTTAAAATATTAATAAATAAATAAATCTTTTATTTATTTATTTGGTATAGGGTCTCATTACACAGCTCAGACTAGTGATTTCCTGTCTTAGCCTCCCCAGCACTGAGATGACAGGTGTGCATCACCACGCCTAGTTTCAGTGGCCCACGGGGCGCAGGGCCAGTGTGGTATGCGGTACTAGGGATTGAACCCTGGTCCTTGCACTTGCCAGGTGGACACCTAGACTGCCCACCTATCTCCCTGGCCTGTAGTATAATTTTTTAAAGGATTCTATACTAAGTCAGAATTTTTTTAAAAAGTAGATTGAAAAGTCTTAGTAGTAGAGGACATGCTTAGTATTGGGAGGCTCTGGTACTTGAATGCATACAAAGATGTGGATTGAAAAGAGCAGATTACAGTTTAAATTCTAGTGTGGGGGCTGGTGAGATGGCTCAGTGGTCTAAAACACCTACTTAGAACAAGCTAAGCTAAGCTAAGCAAAGCACTGGGACAGTGGTTCAATCCCCCAGCACCACATTCCAGCCAGCCCTGACCCCTGGTGGGCTGAGCTGGCCACATACACACACTAAATAAATAAATAAACAAATAAATAAAATTTTAAAAAATGATATTGTTAAAAAAAATAAAAATAAAAAAAATAAATTCTAGTGTGTTATTTTTGGGGATCCATTTTAATCTAGTTAGATTATTTTGATGTGGAGATGGGAAGAGAAGGAACATAAGCTTCCATAGACATTTTTGGTATGGATGCAGTATAGATTGCAGCAGTGTCTGAAGTTTGTTTTTCTAAGTATCTGAAATCCAGTGTTTTCTTTCGCTGTAACAAACAAGGGGATAAGCAGTGAAACAAGGTCCTGTTGGTCCTGGGTTTTCTGAGTGGGGGCATGGCCTCAATTTCTGGCTCTGGGACCTGAATCTCCTTCCTGCAAGAGCAGAGTTCCCAGGGTACCAGTCCCTCTGCCTGAGCACCTCCTTTCTAGGAAAGTGATAAAGAGGGACTCCCTTTGTGGTCAGCTGGGTTCCATACATAACAGGCTGGTCCCCCTGAGAACAGATGGCTCTTCACAATGTGGAATTTTCTGTCTTTCTGTAGTTGCAGCATTTGCAAGAAGAAGCAGAATAAACACTTCATTGTTCCCGCTTCTCGCTTCAAGCTCCTGAAGGTTAGTGCTTAAGTGCAGGATCAGGAGTGCCTGTGTGAGGACATCCAGCCTGCCCTCTGCAGGGCGTGGGGGGCACAAAGCTTGACTGGCTTCCTTTTTAACCCTGGTTTCATGTTTACTTTTAAAAGGTTGTAATTTTTTTTCATTTATTTCCGAAGGCATATTTGATCTTACGGAAATATTTTCAAATTCAGAAAATCAAAAATAAATTAATAAAATTAACCAGGGTAACTACTGTTAATATTTTGGTGTATGTCCTTGTGTGTTATTTTCTATGCAAATATATATACACATACATATATAAATAGTGTCATGTTTTTATCAAAGTATGGTTTTACTGTTCTTTCTGAGTTAGTTTACTTTTGCCATTTGCCAATGAAATATCACATAGTTTTCTTTTTCTTTTCTTATTTTTCTCTATTTTCATTCATTTATTTTTCTTTGTAGTTCTTGGGATTAAATGTTAGAGTTCACATTCAGCTGTATCCCCAGCTCTTTTTCAGTTTTTGAGACAAAGTCTCACAGAGTTATCCAAGCTGTTTGAATTTACAAATCTGCCACAGCCCCTCAGAATGCTTGGGATTATGGGTTTGTGCCACCATGCCCAGTTTATAATTTTTTTTAATTTTTAACTTTAATTGTATTGTTTGGGGGAATTTTCTGTATTTGGTACAGAAAGATGTCAGAAAATATAATTCACTTAGTGAAAAGTGCTGCCTGTGCTGTCCCCCAAGCCCCAGCCTTCTGCTCCCTGCTAGCCATGTCCCTGGTTAACATCTCATCACCTCTGTATTTGTAGCAGTGAATTGGGAGCCTGATTCTAGTTTTTTCTCAATTGTAAACATTGCTGTAATGAATTTCCCTATGTATAAATTGTTGATAATTTAGAAAAATGTTTGAGATCAGTTCTTTTAAAAATAAAATCCCTATGGCCAGGGATATCACTCAGCAGTGTAAGTGCCTTCCTGACAAGCGCAGGGTCCCGAGTTTGATCCCCAGTACCAAAAGAACCAAAACAAAATAAAAAATTTTAAACCAAAAATAAATAAATTGTAGAGTGTGCCTAAGGAGAGTCACATGGGGAGAAGACACTCTCTCAGGCTTTCACAGAGAGCACATTGGCCAAGCAATGGCCGT